GAGGAAAGGCTGAGGGAGCTGGGCTTGTTCAGCCTGGAGAAGAGAAGGCTGAGAGGGGATCTCATCAACACGTACAAATATCTCAAGGGTGGAACTCATGAGGACGGAGCCAGACTCTTCCCAGTGGTGCCCAGCGCCAGGACAAGGGGCCATGGGCACAACCTGAAGCAGAAGAGGTTCCAGTTGAATGTGAGGAAGAACTTCCTGACTTGGAGGGTGCCCAAGCCCTGGCCCAGGCTGCCCAGGGGGGCTGTGGAGTCTCCTTCTCTGGAGATATTCAAAGCCCGCCTGGATGAATTCCTGTGTAACATGCTCTAGGAGAACCTGCTTGAGCAGGAGGGTTGGACTGGGTGATCTCCCGAGGTCCCTCCCAACCCTCGCCATTCTGGGATTCATCCAGGTGCAGGTGCACTGTGCATGCTCGCGGTGCACACGCACTCGCTGGCACAGGGGCTCAGTGGTCCGTACACACTTGCACACTCCCTTGCACACACATGCTCGGTTCCCCCATCCCAAACATTCGCCTACATGCTCTGTTTGTGGGCGTGCTCACACACGCACCGCATGCCCATTCCCCTGACTTTTATTCCATCTTCCCATACTAGAGAGCAGTGGAGCGTTTCCTTTCTGGCTCTCAGGGCAGGTTAAATTCCCCACTACGCCTGCCTTCAACCCATGGAGGGAACCAGGTCCCCTCCGCCTGACACCCTCCCCACATGCAGCAAGCTGGGGGGAGTCCCGCGCTGCCTCGCTGAGCCGTGGCACTGGCCCGGGTGCCAGACCAGGGGGGGAGGGTGTCATTAAAACCTCTGTGTGACCACCACCTCCCTGCCACCACACCGCAGCTTCACACGTGCAGGAAAGGGAAACTGAGGCACGATGCCGTGCTGAATTCTTCCTTCCCTGCCAGATCCACAGAGCCAGGATCACAGCTGTGGCACAGCATGAGACGGAGGAGGCAAAGAGTTGTGGCAAAAAAGGGCAAATTATGCTCCAACCCACCATCCCTTCGGGCTGGGGAGCAGGGTGTCCCCAAAGAGATTAATCCCTTCGAACCTGCCAGGACCCCTCTGCACCGGCCAGCACCCCA